GTGCCAGCTGCCTCTGAGCGCCCGGAGCGGGAACTGGGCTCCATGCCCTGCTGACCCCGTGGCTGGGAGGTGTGGGTCCGGATCAGAGCGAACACAGACAGGAAGTTCCCCTCCTGGGCCCCTGGCCTCCCTCTTCCCCACCCTCCTCACTAGTGCATTTGGGTCTGGACACCCAGCAGGGAACCTGCAAGGTAGTTCCTGCCTCACCATGACCAGCTCTGACCCCTGACCTCCCATTGTCCTGACACATTCAGGTCCCATAAAAGCCACAGCCACTGCCATCAGGGGGCAGTGACCTGAGGTCCAGTTCCCCCAGGAAAGTGAGAAACAGCCCCAACCCCACAGCCTGGCCTCCCTTTCCCAGAGGGAGGACCTGGGGGGCAGGCTCCTGGCTGCCATGGAGACGCTGTACCCCCTCTCCTTGGAGCCTCTGCCTCCCCCATCTCCCTCAGTGGGGGATAGGCCCTGGGGCGCGTACATGACCTCAGTTAGCACAACCCACCGTGCTACTCCTTCTCCTTCCATCACACAAAGTGCTCCCCCAGGTCACCATGAGGTCATCGCTTAGGATCCCCCCTCACAGCCCTGGTCCCGGTGGTGCTGTCACTGTCCCTTCCCCTCTGTGTCCAGGGAGCTGGGGTCACAGTGACTCAGTCAGACAATCAGACACCAGACTCTCCTATGGACAGATGAGTGGGAAATATTATATTCAATCTCACTGTTAATGAAGTTGCCGGTTAATAGATAAAGCTTGACCGAAAAGCATGTGCAGAAACGCAATATGTATAATCCACTGGACAAAGGGGAAGGACAGTGAGAGAATAATATTTGTGTGCTGGGAAGAGAGGGATTAATTTCCAACAGGGGAGGAATCCCATAAAAAAATAAAACTGTGCCCAACAATTAGGAACCTCGCCTCCTGGTGATGGTCCCTGCTCTGGACCTGATCCTGGGAGGAAAGTTCCCTAAGTGACACCAGCTCAGCTCTGACCATGAACAGCCAGGGAGACGGGCCCTGTGGTTCCCTGAGCAACAGGCCCCACACAGCCCCGCCCTGCACACACCCAGGGCCATCCTCAGGCAGAGGCACCTGCCAAGGGCCCAGGGAGGGATCAGATAGATGGGGTCTCATTTGCATAACAGGACCCTCCCTCCCTCAGACTATGAAGAGGGGAAGGGAGAGGTGTGGGGAGCTCTGCTTCAGCTGTGGGGCCTCAGGAGGCAGGACTCAGGGATGACCTCCACCATGGCCTGGGCCCCTCTCCTCCTCACCCTCCTGGCTCACTGCACAGGTGACTGGATAAGGGACAGGGGAAGGGGCCTTGGGAAGACACATGGGCCCTGCTTCCTCCTCTTGTCTCTAGACCCAGACTCACCCTCTCTGTGTCTCCCCCTCTTGCAGGATCCTGGGCCCAGTCTGTGCTGACTCAGCCATCCTCAGTGTCGGGGTCCCCGGGCGAGAGGGTCACCATCTCCTGCACTGGAAGCAGCTCCAACATTGGGGGTGGATCTCTTGTGTACTGGTACCAGCAGCTCCCAGGAAAGGCCCCCAAACTCCTCATCTATGATAGTAGCAACCGACCCTCAGGGGTCCCAGACCGGTTCTCTGGCTCCAAGTCTGGCAGCTCAGGCACCCTGACCATCACGGGGCTGCAGGCCGAGGACGAGGCCGACTATTACTGCCAGTCCTACAGTAGGAGTTTTGATGATCACACAGTGCTGCAGGCCTGTGGGGAAGTGAGACAAAAACCCCATGTCCCGCTGCAGTGGGGCCCGGGGCAGCCCCATCCTCTGATGAGACGGCTGTGCCTTTGCTGGGTGGCCCATATCCGGGCTCTGAGACCCCCCCCTCCCCCAGGGACTGTGTCAGCAAAACCTGTCCTCACCCTTTGTACTTGCTTGTCAAACGCACTCGTGGCAGCAGCACACGGTTTGCGTGTCTCAGCCTGAGCAGACCTTCCTGTGCGTCAGGGGCCTGACAGGACGGGGCAGGGCAGACCCAGGGCCCCGAGTCCATCTGTGCCTGTGTCAGAGCCCTTAGGGGAGGCCCCCTGTGTGTGCTGTGATGTGGGGCTCCCCACAAAGCCTGGGACCCCCATCGAGCTAGAGAACAGGTGCCTGTGTGGTCCCTGATCCACTCCTGGGGCACGTCTGGGAACTCCGGCTCCGTGAACCCCGCAGGGTGGACACTGAGGCCAAGGCTGCCTGTCCCGGCCGCTCCTGTGACCACAGCCCCAGGGCCCACCCAGAGCCCGTCCTGTGGGACTGAGGCCACAGGGAGCCCTTCTCACCTGCCAGGAGCGGCGCCGCCCGCACCTGCCTCTCAGGCTCAGCCAGTGCCTCTGCTTCTACTTCTGTCCCCCCAACAGGGCCAGGTCCCAGGGCAGCCCCTGGAGCATGAATGTGCCTCCTCCCTCTCCCCTCAGAGGCCCTCACAGCAGCCTCCTCCTGGACACAAGGCCTGACACCAAACACGGGGCCCATCCCCATCAGCAGGGACACTGAGCCCCTTGGCCCTGCAGCCCCGGGTCTGAGCTGGGGGACCATCTGTGATCACTTCAGACCTGAACCCCGACGAGGGCACCTGTGTCTCTCTCAGGGTCAGTGACTGTGTCCAGGGCCTTCCCCGGCCGGGCCCCCTCCTCCCTGATGCTCAGAGGGAGCGGCTGAGGCCTTTGTGCACAGAGAGGCCCCTCTGTCCCTGTGCCCGGCCCCGGGGTCTCAGGCCGTAGCGCCCCCGGGGTCCTGGGCACAACCGCTGTCCCCCCCTCAGTGCTGACTCTGACGCTCACTCCTCCTGTGAGTCAAGGGCGGCTCCTCTCGGGGACCCTGAGCCCTGAGGAGTGAGGGCCGCAGAGTCGCTCCTGGTCTTTGGGGCTATGCCCCCCCCCCACCCCCAGGAGCTCCCATGCTGCTGTGGGACACGTCGTAAGTGTGGGGAGAGCGTCAGTCACCATGTCTGCCAGGTCCTCACCATCCCCCGTTTCATTTGTGTCTAAAATGAGGAAACATGCACGAAAGGACAGGCAGGGAATTTAAAATATAAGCACATTGTAGGACACGAAGACAACGTTGGTCACAGAGGGCAGCACATACAACTGTTGGAATATAAAGGCTTTTCCTGAAATTTAAAAAACCCCACGTGCTACAATGCCCACCAGTAAATGTGAGGCGTACAAATCCGTTTTTTTGTGTTTTATTTTTTTAATGAATCACTAACTCAAATTTGATGACAATGATTTGATGCCTCACATGGTTTGAAATGTTGGCTGAATGGTCCTTCTTTGAATGTGGCCCTGAGGGTTTTTCTGGAAAGTTCCTCTCTCCTTCATTGAGCTGAACAGCCCCCAGGAGCTCATCACACCTGAGCAGCTCCCCCACCTGTGACGTTGGACACAGGGCTCACTGTGCACTTATTTGTGCAGCATCTTTACTGGAAGAGAAACCGCATTCATTTGTCATTTGTGAATGTTTGAGCTCATCACACAGACGCAGACCAGAGAGTGGAACGCTGCGGGATCAGCACAGAGAATCCATCGCAGTGTCTGGGCTCAGCCCGTGGGGGTGGGAACAGGACAGGGACCTGGGAGCCCACAGCCTGCTGGGCTGTCAGGGCTTTGGGGCAGGGAGGGTGTGTCCCCCCACCAGCAGGGGGCGCTGTGGGACCGCCAGGCGATCAGCACACAGCTGTTCAGTGAGACCTGCACACACAGGCCCCTGCACTGTGGGCTCCCTGCTGTCCTTGGGGGCCTGGCAGCGCCCCCTGAGCGGGCTCCAGTGTGTGGTCTCAGCAGGTGCTTCCTCCCAGACCCCACAGGGATGAGCCAACCTCCATGCCCCTCAGTCTGGGGTGTGAGCTGAGCTCCAGTCCCAGGGCCCAGGGAGGAGCTGGGCAGTCCCTGGAGGGACTCTCATTTGCATGGCAGCCCCGCCCCTGGCAGAGGGTGGGGGAGAAAAGGAGGCCTGGGCAGTCCAGCCCCACTGTGGGCTCAGGGCTGTGAGCACCATGGCCTGGACTCCTCTGCTCCTCGCGCTCCTCTCTCACTGCACAGGTAGGGACAGGCCTGGGACCCGGCTTCTTCCCTTCCTGCTCAGGCTCCTGGGAAACGTCCCCTGGTCCCTGCCCATCACTGACAAGTGTCTGTGTCTACAGGGTCCCTCTCCCAGCCTGTGCTGACTCAGCCGCCCTCCCTCTCTGCATCTCCGGGAGACACAGCTAGACTCACCTGCACCCTGAGCAGTGATGTCAGTGTTGGTGGTAAATACATATACTGGTTCCAGCAGAAGCCAGGGAGCCCTCCCCGGTACCTCCTCTACTATAACACAGACTCAGATAAGGGCCAGGGCTCCGGGGTCCCCAGCCGCTTCTCTGGATCCAAAGACGCCTCGGCCAATGCGGGGCTCCTGACCATCTCGGGGCTGCAGCCCGAGGACGAGGCCGAGTATTACTGTATGATCTCGCACAGTAGTGGTTCCCACAGTGACACACACAGATGGGGAAGTTGGACAAAAACCTCCACCTCCTCAGAGTCTTATTTCACAGCAACTGAACCTGTTAATATAGCTTCCAATTGCAAACTATGTGTGGAAGTACCTTCTAGTTATAATGCACTTTGCATTTGTTATCCCATGTATCTGAGCCAACAACCCAACCCAATGGTCATTATTTCCCTGAAAGGAGGCCTGTCCTCCGTGGGTCAGAAGCCCAGGTCCCGTGCGATGGCTGTTTCTGACATGAAATAAGGGAACAGCTTTGGGAAACTGTTCCCAGAGCCCAGGACCCTCCCAGCAGGCAGCCCGTCCCCGGAGCACGGACTCCGCGCCCAGAGGTCAGAGCAGTGACCCCTCAGTGCCCGGCCCCTCGCCCAAGGCCCCTGCCCAGCCCTGTGCACACGGACTGGACTCTCAGCTGCGAGGGGCTGGGGTGCCTCGGGCCCAGGAGGAAGCCCCGGCGCAGGGCTGGCCGTCACCTCTGCTGGGACCCTGACCTCAGTGCCCCTGGGGAGAGGGGCGGTCAGAGGGAAACGGGCGGCCGGGGCCCAGGAACCCTCTTTGGGTCTCGACAGGGTGAGCGAGCCGGATGGTGGCTGGATGCTGAGCTGCTCCAGGAGGGATGCGGGCGCCTGGGTCTCTGGGGGAGACGCTCTCACAGCTGAGGCCACTCAGGCCCATGGGGCTCCCGAGAGTGGGGTTCCCTGAGCCACAGGCTCTGACTGTGTCCTCTCCTCTCACCCACCGGGGCTTTCCTACCCCCAGGGTGTGGGTGGCTGTGGGCCATGGGGAGCAGGACCTTCCCAGCAGGTGCCTGTCACTCCCCCTGGGAAGCTCTTGATGAGCCCAGATCCCAGGTCACCTTCTCCTGAACCTGGGTCAGCAGACACAATGACTGTTCCCATGGCAACGGTCCCCACGCTCCCAGGCAGAGCACCTAGCGGACCTTGTGACCTAGGACAGAGGAGATTGACAGGCTGGGGTCAGCCCTCTTCCCGTTCTCCTGGCTGGTGCACTGGGCCCTGTGACCAGCCTGGTCTGTGGCCTGAGGAGGAGGCTGCCTGTCCCTGTCACGTGACCTCATCAACCCGCTGCCACAAGGAGCTGCCAGCCCGGGGGCAGCTGAGGGGCATGTGCCCTCCTCTCCTGCAGGACCAGCTCACCCTGGACCCGATTTCAAAGATACGACTGAGAGCCCAGGCTGGTTGGGCTCAGTGGGTAGCGCCTCAGCCTCCAGACTGAAGGGTCTGGGTTTAATTCTGATCAAGGCTCATGCCCGGGTTCAATGCTCCATCCCCAGTAGGGGGCGTGAAGGAGGCAGCTGATCAATGATTCGCTCTCATCATTGATGCTTCTATCTCCCTCTCCCCCTCCCTCTCCCTTCCTCTCTGAAATCAATAAAAAAGATAAAAAATAAAAGTCAGATGATTATTGACTTTGAGCAT